ACTCGACATTAACCTAATAAAACCCGAGTAGAACTCGAGTATTTGATTACGTCATAGATCTCAAGATACAAAAATAAATAAATAAATAAATAAATAAATAAAACGTCAATAAAAGGTAATTATTTACAAAAAAAAAGACCAACAAAACATTGGGAGCGTATATTATGCTCCTACCATTTATCAAACTGCAAATAAGTCACAGGAAAAACTAAATTATTAGTTTTTATTATTAAACTGCAAACATGAAGAAACATGCAGCACGTCAAAAACGAAACTTAACAGTGGGGGGGGGGGGGGGGTGTCGCCCACCCCGCACCACCTTCAGCTGTGGTGCATTAGGTTTAGTTTTAGAGATTAATATGTTTATAGATTTTTTTTTATAGGTTTAGAGATTAATATTTTTTGCTTTTTGTTTGTGAAACAAGGTCCGAGGAAGCTGGTTCTGGTTTGGTGGATTGGACCCGGTGTTACACCATATTCTATGACCTGCAACAGTGCAACACTGCCCCCTATGGTCATACGGTGGTCACATAATATGACGTCACTACGGATACTCAACGTTACATTTTTAACCTCGATAGAGGTCCTAGCAATCGATGTGTAGATTACTCGAGTACTCTGTTAATGCCCTAGTACATATATATATATAATCTTCTTCCATCCATCCATCCATCCATTTTCTTTACCCATTTATTCCATTTTGGGTCACGGGGGTCGCTGGTGCCCATGTCCAGCAATCACTGTGCGAGGGGCGGGGTACACCCTGGACAGGTCTCCAGTCCATCACAGGGACACATAGAGACAAACGAGACAAACAACCATTCACTCTCTCACTCACACCTAGGGACAATTTAGAGTTACCAATCAGTCTAACATGCATGTTTTTGGTCTGTGGGAGGAAACCGGAGTACCCGGAGAAAACCCACGCATGCACGGAGAGAACATGCAAACTCCACCCAGAAGGCCCCTGGACCGGGGTTTGAACCAGGGACCTGTTCGCTGAGAGGCAGCAGCTCTACCAGTTGCGCCACCGTGCTGCCCCTATATATATATATATATATATATAATGTTCTTGTATTTTTCAAATCATATGTTTTTTATGATTGTCTACTGTTGTACTGATAAATATCTTCTGCAGGGTAAACTAGATCTTGGCTGTAAGTATCAAACTGTGAAATCCTTTGTTTTCTACAACTGATAGTGGTTGATCATTAATCATGATGAAGTTTAGCAACTTCTCTGTAAACATTCGAGCTCCGTGGTTTCAGCGACGTCTTCTTCTTGTTCAATCTGAAGCAGGCAGCCTGATTTCAGTCAGCCACACTCAGTCCCTCCTCAGAGACGGAGGGACTGAGTGTGGCTGACCGAAATCAGACTTCCTTCTCCGGACTTAACAAAAATAACAGAACGCTGAAGCCCCGGAGCTCGAATGTCCATCATAAAACTAACTTTACCGTGGTTTAATGTGGCGCTATGGCTCTGCAGACAGTGCACGTTGCTGTCTTGTTTTGTGGTGTTTAGTGTAAAATACTTCCACACAGCGACATGTTTAGATGAAAAGTTTGTTAGCTGTTAGCCACAGTGCTGCTAACTCAGTCCTCACGTTGTAGCTGCTGCAAACTATGAACTGGATTTCCTGAATGTGAGGCGGGTCTTATTACTCTGGGTTCATGAGACACGCCTCCGTTCAGGAAATCCATTCCATAGTTTGAAGCCAACGTGCATCATGCATCACTTTTAATCCAGGTTACAATAATCCACACTTTTAATCCAGGTTACACTCTTCCCTCAATGACACATTTTACAAAGTAGCTACATATTGTGCAGATATAAAGATACATTTGTATATATTTTTGTGTACATTTATTTTTTAAGCTATTTGACTAACTTTTATTTTTTATTATTCAATATTTTACTAACAGAATAGTCAAATAGCAACCTGTTTTTGTGTGAATTGCTATGTCAGTCAAATGTTCAATTTTGGAATAAAGGGGTGGAAATTAAAACGTTGTTTTTGTTTGTTTGTTGCCGACTCGTCGATTAATCGGAAAGTTACTCGGACGATTAATCGATTATTGTAATAGCCGTTAATTGCAGCCCTGGTTTTAACTTTAAACACCATAACATAACCCATGCAGCAGACATTTGCTGCAGGGGTTTCTCTTCTGATACAGCTGGGGGGGGGGGGGGGGGGGGGGGTGGGGGGGGGTTTCAGGGACATGTTGGCTCAAACTTTGATTGTGCTTCTTCTTCTGACTCTCATCATATTCTGTCGAGTGGAACAAGTTAGATGTTCCCATCGCTAATTAGAACGCCTCTCCATCACATTTTGCAGCACACTGACTGAAACCTGCAGTTTATCAGATCTTAGATAGCCGAGCCACTTCCACACCGCCAAATCAGTCTTTCCTCTCTTATCAGTGATGTCACCTGCTTCTCTTCGCTTGTTAAAGCTTGTTCAGTCACATTCTGACGGTCATGGGAACTCATTTTGAAGAGAAAACTTAACGCAAGTTGGACATTAGCTTAGCCTGCTACCACTGACTCCTCCTGGACTCGAGCTCTGTGAAACATCTTAGTCACCATGCCCGGGGGAACTGAGAGGCCAGCCAGGTCTGGGTGGACGGATCAGACGGCATCTGCAGCCAGTTTCTTAGGATCCACTGTGGGATGGACCTTTACAAGAGATCCTTCCTGTCTACAGCATCAGTATCTATAACATCTCTTAATGAAATGAGGATAATGAGTTACAACAACAAATAAATTCCCTTTGGGATTAATAAAGTATTTTTGAATTGAATTGAATTATGTAATTGTCACACCTTTTTCTGTGAAATGAGTCAGTGAAACGCTGTACTCATATCAAAATATCGAAAATGTGCTTAAAACTCATATAATCTTTATTGAATAAAAGTATACTGTGATATATATTGATATCAAATTATTGTCCAGCTCTAATGGCCATTAACTGAGAACTTTTCCTTGTTTTAATTCCAAGTCTAAAAGCCTTTTTAAAACTCTAAAAAATTATATTAAAATGGGAAAACATGAATCTGTATTAGGATAAACAGATTACCTTTGTCAAAATGTGGTAAATCTGGGGGTACATTAGTCCTCTTCTGTGTCTGTGTTCAGCTACACGAAGAACCTCAGCACTGACCTAAAGAAAAAGAAGCAAATACAAGAATCAACACAATTTTTCTGTTTAAGAACATTATTCTGAAATTGTTTCAAACCAGCCACTAGGGAGCACAAGCCAGGGTAAGTCTTATGCCAGGAATGGCATACGATGTAAAACACTTTTGCCAAAACTATAATGAGAGTTCATCGAAGCGAAACCATATAAGATCCGTCATGGCCGGGGTTAACAACGACCACCACCGGTGCTGTTGACAAACGGTGCTGGTGGAAATTGTGCTACTGTTAGTTGAAGACCACGAGGAGGGAAACAAGTCAGGAGACAGAGGGAGAAGAGGAAAGTCAAGGATGTAGGACTGAGGGTTGCAACTCTAAATGTTGGGACAATGAAAGGCAAAGGTAGAGAGCTGACTGACATGATGCAGAGAAGGAAGGTAGATGTTTTATGTGTCCAAGAGACCAAGTGGAAGGGCAGCAAGGCTCGCAGCATTGGAGCAGGGTTCAAACTGATTTACCATGGTGTGGATAGAAAGAGAAATGGAGTAGGTGTGGTCCGGAAGGAGGAGTTGACAAAGAATGAAGTAGAGGTGAAAAGAGTGTCAGATAGGGTGATTTCAAAAAGTGTTCAATACAAAAATACAGACAGGGTGATGTGTGTACCAGGGTGAAACAGATAGGGTGATGTGTCTGAAGGTAGAAGCAGAAAAAAAAAAAATTTGTATGACTTTTTATAACTTTTTATTGTCGTCGCTGTTGTCCATTGTGTCATAATTCTGTTGAAATCAGGTCTCTCTTGTAAATGAGTCCTCGAGGCTCAATGGGATTTACCTGTCTAAATAAAGATAGAATGAAAAAGAAGGTCTGATGCTAAACATTGTCAGTGGTTATGCTCTACAGGTTGGATGTGATGGGGAGAAGAAAGATACATTTTGTAAAGATCTGGATGAAGCGATGGAGAGAATTCCCAGGGAGGAGAGAATGCTGATCAGAGCAGACCTGAATGGACATGTTGGTGAAGGAAACAGAGGATGAGGAAGTGATGGGTAGGTTTGGTGTCAAGGAAAGAAACCAGGAAGGACAGATGGTGACTTTTGCCAAGAGAAAGGAAATGGCTGTAGTCAACACCTATTTCCAAAAGAGGGAGGAACATAGAGTGACCTATAAGAGTGGAGGAAGGAGTACGCAGGTCGACTACATTCTGTGTAGAAGAGGAAACCTGAGGGAGATTGGAGACTGTAAGGTTGTGGCAGGGGAGAGTGTGGCCAGACAGCATCGGATGGTTGTGTGTAAAATGACTGTTGTTGTGAAGAAGAGAAAAAGAGCAAAATCAAAGAAGACGACCAAATGGTGGAAGATGAAGAAGGAAGAATGTTGGGTAGTAAGAAAGCGCTTCCAAATGACTGGACTACTACAGCAACAGTAATTAGAGAGATAGGTAGGAAGGTACTTGGTGTGTCATCTGGACAGAGAATGGATGATAAGGAAACCTGGTGGTGGAATAGTGAAGTGCTGGATGCTGTTCAAAGAAACAGGTTAGCCAAGAAGAAATATGAAAGTGAGAGGACTGAAGAGAGGAGACAGGAATATGAGGAGATGCAATGTAGAGCAAAGAGGGAAGTAGCTAAGGCAAAGCAGAGGGCGTATGATGAGTTGTATGGGAGGCTGGACACTAAAGAGGGTGAGAAGGACTGGTACCGATTGGTAAGACAGATCAGGCTGGAAAGGATGTGCAGCAGGTTAGGCTTGTTAAAAATAGGAAAGTAATGTTCGAACAAGTGAGGAGAGTGTGATGGGAAGATGGAAGGAGTACTTTGAGGAGCTAATGAATGAAGAGAAAGAAAGAGAAAGAAAAGTAGAGGTCATAAAAACCTTGGACAGGAAGTGGGGAAGATTAGTGAGGGTGAAGTCCAGAAAGCTCTAAAAAGAATGAAGGGGAAGGCAGGAGGACCTGATGACCAGTGGAGGTTTGAAAATATCTTGAGAGAGATGGCAGTGATGTTTTTGACCCAAATATTCAATGACATATTTGAGGGTGAGAAAATGCCTGAGGAATGGAGAATAAGTGTGCTGGTGCCCATTTGCTAGAACAAGGGTGATGTACAGAGTTGTAGCAACTACAGGGGAATTAAGTTGATGAGCCACACAATGAAGATCTGGGAGAGAGTTGTGGAAGCAAGACTTAGACGAACGGTAACTATTTGTGAGCAGCAGTGTGGTTTCATGCAAAAAAGTAGCGCCACAGATCCATCTTTGATTTGAGGATGCTGATGTAGAAGTACAGAGAGGGTCAGAAAGAACTCCATTGTGTCTTTGTGGATTTAGAAAAAGCATATGACAGAGTGCCAAAAGAGGAGGTGTGGTATTGCATGAGGAAATCTGGAGTGGCAGAAAAGTATGTTAGACTGGTACAGGACATGTATGAGGACAGAAGGACAGTGGTGACATGTGCTGTAGGAGTGACAGATGGCTTCAAGATGGAAGTGGGATTGGATCAAGGATCAGCTCTGAGCCCCTTCTTGTTTGCTCTGGTGATGGACTGACAAACAGATGAGGTCAGGCAGGAATCCCCGTGGACTATGATGTTTGCAGATGACATTGTGATCTGTGGTGAGAACAGGGAACAGGTGGAAGAGAACTTGGAGAGGTAGAGGTATGCACTTGAAAGAAGAAGAATGAAAGTCAGCCGTAGTAAGACAGAGGACAGAGTTAGAGATGCTATGTGTGTGAATGAGAGGGAAGAGGTGGAACAGTGAGGCTACAAGGAGCAGAGGTCACAAAGGTGCAGGACCTCAACTACTTGGGGTCCACTGTCCAGGAAAATGGAAACTGTGGTAAAGAGGTGAAAAAGAGAGTCCAGCAGGATGGTGTGGATGGAGAAACGTTTCAATAGTGATTTGTGATAAAAGGGTGTCAGCAAAGGTCAAAGGAAAAGTTTACAAGACAGTGGTGAGACCAGCTATATTGTATGGTCTGGAGACAGTGGCATTGACAAAAAGACAGTAGAAAGAAATGGAAGTAGCAGAAATTAAGATGTTGAGATTCTCCTTAGGAGTGACAAGGATGGATAAGATTAGGAATGAGATCATCAGAGGTACAGCACAGGTTGAACAATTGGGAGATAAAGTTAGAGAGGACACACAGATGGTTTGGACATGTCCAGAGGAGGGACAGTGGGTATATCGGTAGAAAGATGTTAGAAATGCAGCTGCCAGGAAAAAGACAAAGAGGAAGGCCTAAGAAAAGATCGTGGATGCAGTTAGAGAGGACATGAACGTCGTTGGTGTGAGGACAGAGTGAGATGAGGAGGACGACTCGCTGTGGCGACCCCTGAAGAGTGAAAAGCCAAAAGAAAATTCTGAAATTGTTTCAGTATATTCAGAGTTATTTTCTACACTGGTAATCCATGACCATTTTTACTTCATAGCCTCTCTAAAATGTTATTTTTTACACCCAGTGCTCTTACGGGCCTGTTGACAATCAACCTAAAGTGTTACACAATGCTCCACCAGCAGTTTCTTATTCTTAATACTTACTTTTACAGCTTTTGCTGACTCTCTCTTACTGATCTAATCTCACTCTCTGGTGTTAGCAGGACTGCCTTTTATGCCTTTTAGCCATTATCAATCTTGCTAATGTCGCATGAAGCCAAGTAATTGAAATGTGGCAGCTTTGAACGTTGCACATTTGAACATTGTGCTAGCTGTCAATGTTTTAATGGTTACACCTTAATCTTTAACCAGGATCGATATAATAAATCTAAAATATTTTACACACCACTTTAATGATTAGATTAAAACATTCATTTAATTTAGTAAACAAACACTTCCTTGCTTTGCATCAATGCATTTAATGTTTGGGGTGAGACGGGATTGACTTGTCTGGTACGGACCCGGACTTTTAAAATTCATAGGTCCAGGTGAAAATCACATTCCACACCGAGCTGGATTTTGTATTCCTCACCTGAGGCAGAGGGGGCGTGGTTATGTCCATGTGACTTCGTGTTGCCATTGACAACAGTGACGGAATGTTTGACCCACTCCCATTGCCTTGAGAACCATCTCCAGAGCCCCCTCTTCCACCAGGATCCTCCCACCGAGAAGATTTGTCTGTCAAATGGCTGTGGAGAGAGAAGCATAGGAACATTTATAATTATCCTGACCAGAATAGCCTCGGATCTTTTTTTTCCCTTCTTCCTGCTCTCGGTGAAGGTGGACACTTTTTCCTCCCGCTTCTTCCCCTGCTTCTACTCTTTGTTCTGTGAAGCTTTTGGAACCTCTTTTTGCATATCTTCTGAGTTGTAAATCATGGATCTAGTCAGCTGGTCTCACAACGCAATTGATCAAATCTTCTCAATGAGCAGACAGGGCAAGGAGAGCCCTCCTGCCCCGATGAGACACTTGCAGCCGGATACACGATGGATTCCTGGGGGCAGTGAAAGATCATGTGTCTGTCCATATTGTCGATCGAGGATGTTGAAGATGCGTACGTAATTGGATTTATAAAAACGGGATTTCTGCTTTTTGCAGTTGGTGGTAACCTGGCATATCGACAAATTCGAAAACGTTGGCAGCTGTTCTGGCCATTGTGAAGCTGCCTGGCCTGTGGGGATGTGCCGTGCTGTGAACTAGGGATGCACCGAATCCACTCCCTCCCGATCCGATCCCGATACCTAAATCGGGATATTGGCCGATACCAATCCCATTCCGATATCATCATCATTGATTTTATATGAGGCTGCAATAATCTCCTCTCAAGTCTAATTTGTACAAAAATATGCAAGCATGTCCAAAAAGGCAACTTGAGGTACATTTTATTAATGTTGGATAAGTTTCAAAGTTAGAATTAAATCTTGCTAACACAAAACATCTTTTTTTTTTTTATTCCTAGCTTTAAAGTAGATATTAATAATAATAATAATAATAATGTCATCACAATGTCAGCACTGTATGTTTCCATACAATGGCGAAATTAGTCTCTGCATTTAACCCATCCACCACCAGGTGGTGCAGTGGGCTGCTATTGAAGGCGCCCGGGGGGCATTTTGGGGATGAGACGTGCTGCCCAGAGACGCCACGTGATGTGCAGTGACTGGGGATCGAACCTGGGACTTTCGGGTCCCAAGCCGGCTGCCCTGCCTCTACACCATCTCGGCCCCCATATATTAAAGTGATTAAATGGCTTTAAAAATCTGCTAAGTTCATGACATAAACCGACACAGACATGTTCCTGTTTTTAGTATTTATATCGCTTTATAATGTAGCTGTATTTGTTTCATTTTAT